TGGATTTGAACTACGTTCGACCTGAATTCTCAAGAATGAGATACGTAGGCGGCCTATGTCGGCTTCGGTCACCCCTTTACCCCTTTTAATGTATTTTTTTTTGGATTTGAACTACGTTCGACCTGAATTCTCAAGAATGAGATACGTAGGCGGCCTATGTCGGCCTCGGTCGGTTTCTTTGTATTTTTCTTATTTTGTTAATCCTCGAGAGGGGGAACTACGTTTGACCTGATTTCTGCCTCAACGGGATACGTAGGCGCCACAAGGGTTCGGTCATATTTCCCGTAAGATTTCTATTTCTCTTTACAATAGAAACTGGGACAAAATTTTTGAGAGGAACTCAAAAAATTCTCAAAAGAAAGATCTTTTCAACAAAGTCAAGACTGAAATTTACTTTGAGATTTGCAACTGGGAATAAATTTTTTAGAGGATCTCAAAATTCCGTGATTTGCTCATTAACAGTTCGAGATAAGCCAAGACAGTTAACTGGGACAGAAATTTTAAGGATGGCCTCAAAATTTCGATAAGATCCATCGGCAGTTTGGAACAACTTTGAAATACTCCTCAACAAGTAATCAGTTAGACCTCGAGATATCAACTTCAAACATGTTCGCTAAAGTTTGACGTGACATGACACTTGACAGTGACTTTCTCCAAATACTACTTTTGAAAATCTATTTTCCTCAAAACTTTTCCTCCATATTTCAATTATTTTTGCATAAGAATGTTTTGTCTTATCTATCAAGAAGCGGGAGATCGGAGAAGTCAATCGGAGACAGCAAAACAAGGAGCAGACAACTGAAAAGATCGACACAGATCAGTTCATTTTGTAAAAATCTAACAATTTTTCTGTGGATGAAGGTCTATAGGTTTGCCTCAAGATCGGCATATTCTCCCATTCAATGAATATGGAGAAGTCAAAAGGGCGAAGAGCCCCCAAATTGACAACCTCCCTGTAGATGCAGGATATATTTTATGCTTCTTATACCAAGAATTGGGAATATGAGTAGCATTACTTTATTCAAATTCTCGGCAAGGCAAGGTTCATAATGAACATGCAGCTATGTTCGGAGATGGGACGAATGAAAACCTTGAAGAGAGAAATATTATTATTTGCCAGCAACTAAAGATACTTGGAAGATATTTATCTGCATTATATTATCAGATATGACAATATTCTTACCCTGAAGGTTATTTATATTGTATTGTCGAATGAGACGATATCACTACCCGGAGAGTCATTTATATTGTATTGTCAAAAGAGATGATACAACTACTCCGAGGGTCATTGTTATTTATATTGTCGATTGAGATGATACCGCCGTCCAAGAGATACCCGGAAGATCACCTATGTTGCTGAGTGAAGCATCATCTTCGTTCGGTAGCAGGAAGGCATCATCGAAGTCATGCATAGCAAGAGGAAATCATGCACAACAAAGAGGAAAAGTCATGGATCGAGAGAAAGAAATCATGTATTGGAAGAGAAGGAAGTCATGCATCGCGGGAAAGAGATTTAGGCATAGCAAGAAGAAGGATTCATGCATCGCGGAAGGAAGTCATAGCATCGCGGAAAAGAAGTCATGCATTACGAGAAAGAAAATCAATGCATCGCAAGAGAAGGATTAATGCATAGCAAGAGAAGGAATTATGCATCGCAAGAGAAGGATTAATGCATAGCAAGAGAAGGATCCATGCATCGCGGAAAAAGTCATGCATTGCAAGAGAAGAAATCATGCATTGCAAGAGAAAGAAGTCCTGCATCACAGAAGAAGTCATGCATAACAGAAAAAGAGTCATGCATCGCGGGGAAAGAGATTTATGCATAGCAAGAAGAAGGATTCATGCATCGCGGAAAGAAGTCAATGCATCGCGGAAAAGAAGTCATGCATCACAGAGAAGTCATGCATTGCAAGAGAAAGAAGTCCTGCATCACAGAGAAGTCATGCATAACAAGAAAAAAGAGTCATGCATCGCGGAAAAGAAGTCATGCATCGCGGAAAGGAAGTCATGCATCGCGGAAAAGAAAGAGTCATGCACAGCAAGAGAAAGAAGTCATGCATTACGAGAAAGAAAATCATGCATCGCAAGAGAAGGATTAATGCATAGCAAGAGAAGGAATTATGCATCGCAAGAGAAAGATTTACCCACCATAAGAGAATCAACATCAACTGCATTATTTTTTCTTTACAAAGACAACATCAAGAGAACTATCAACATATTACATCAGCCTATTTTATTACTTCGACATCAAAATAAGAGTGCATTGAAGATTTTGCAAATACTAGACGCAAGCTTTACTTGCTTTACGTCAAATCCGATGAAGTTGACGTCAAATGTTCAAGGAGAACAATTAAGCGTCAACACGGTAAAAGACACTGTCTCCCATTTGAATTGCATTTT